TGACGCCCCATGCCTCTGTTGCAGCGTCAAGCGTCGATTGCATGGTCACCGACATCTCCTCCCTATCCATCAGAATCTGAGCTAAGTCCTTTGTGCCCAACACATTCCTGAGTGTTGTTTGGGCCAGCAGACGTGTCGACCTAGCCGCGTCCTCTACGTTGAGGAAGGAGACTGCGGGATTGCATATGCGATAGTAGACAACAGCATCAACCGCCACGGTAACCGAGTCTCTAGTTAATACCTCCTGTGGCGGGATGCTAAAGGTTACTGTTCGTAGTTCCACTTTGCGAATGCTATCGATGCAGGGGAGAATAAAGAAGAGTCCAGGACCCTTGGTACCGTGGCCATCAGGAAGCAGGCGACCCATTCGCAGGACTACTGCTCTCTCATATTCAGCCACAGTTTTGAGGCAGAAGAACATGGAAAAGGGGAAGGTAAGTACTACAATGACATAGCTCAGGACAGTGAGGATTGAGGTCATCCAATCAGTTGACTGTGAGATCTCCAACTCCTCCATAAAGCCCTCAGAATCGTTCTGAAAACTGTTCATTCTGCCGCGGCGGGGGGTGTGGGAGCCATCGGACGAGTCTGTTGCGTGCTTAAGCAGTGCCTCCTTCTCCTTTGCACAGTCGTCCCCATCGTCATCACCCTTGCCGGGCACAACTGTGGAGAGGTCAGCAAGCACGTCTAACGGCGGCTGGGCATTGGGAGGCGGCCTGCTGTAGGAAGTCAACTCTAGCTGTTCTGCGCCATCGTGAGTGTTTAAACGGGGTGGGGCTGAGGGAACAATGGCGCGATTAGTTTGCTCGATTTTGTTGTCACTCTCATGGCTACCTTCCGCTGTGGGTGGCTGGTAATCTCTAGGTCCCGTCACCGATGATGCTGCCGCCGGTGTCCGTTGTTGAGGGAGAACGGTGGTGTCCATCGGCCGAGGACGTGGTTGCTGCTGCTGCTTTTGTTGCGGTCTTCTTGGCTGCTGGGGGTGGGGATTTCGGGGTGGTGCGTGTTGGGGAAGCTGCTGGTGCTGGTGCTGCATTTTGGCGGTAAGGAGGGGACCTCGAAAGCTGTCAAAACTCTCCGACTTGGATGGGCGTTGGACCTTAGATTTGCCGTCCATGAGGGACTTCCCCATAGTGCTTTACAGTGCAACGCAGGAGGAGGCGGAGGAGAGGAGACGCTTCATGGAAGGGGCAGAGTATGCGGCGTCCGCGGTGATGACGGTGGTTCAAGTGACGGCAGACTCCCTTCTGTTCTTCATTCATCACTGGCGGAGCGGCAGGAGGCAGGCGCACAGCTTATCCTCTGTGTGTGTGTTTGTGATATAATTTGAATTCGCTTCGCCGCAAGATGGTCAGTGCTGCACTCGGGGTAGAAAGGTGACGTCTGAGATGGCTTTCCTCCAGCCGTGCGCGGCGGGCTGTGCATACAAGTCGGAC